CAGTATGCATTTTCCGAGTTATTTTATTTCACCTTGTCGTTTCAAGTGATTGGCTGTTGTTTGATATCCCGGATGTGCCTGCGCTTGATGTGCATGTTGACAAGGTGCCTACCTGTCTATTACCCACTACCTCGTCCATACTGGCTCCAGGAGACAGTTGGTCGTTGCTGGAGAGGACAGGGTGCACGGTCCTTGTGGCCGTGTTAGGATCAAAGAGTGGTTCCATGCAGTCAGTGTGGAGCGGACTACGGTCCAGCCACGGCCTTGTGTGCGCTTGATTCCCCAAATACAGTGTGCTTGTGTTTGCCTGTGAAGGAGTGTGCGCCGACTCCGTTGATGAAACGTGGTTCCCATCCGCATGCCTTCCTTCGGGTTTACACTGGATATGGGGTATGTGGTTGGAGCTGTGGGTGGTGCAGCGCAAGCCATCCATGGTCCCTCTGTAGGCGCAGGCGTCCTGTGGCTTGCCACAGTGACAGGCAAATCCGAAACCGGATGCCGCCAACCATTGGTGTGTGTACGGCCACGTTGCTTACGCTAAATGTGGTTATCTTCCTTAACTTTATTGCCTTCGTAGAATATTTTTGTGTAACTTGTGGACATTTTGTACTTATCGCGGATTCTTTTGTAACCTACTTACATTTTATACTACTTTAGCGAAGAGTTATGTCGGCATAGCCATATGCTTTAACAGATACACTTTTGATAATGTCATTTCAAGTGTATGGCTGTTGTTTGATATCCTCGATGTGACCGCGTTTTATGTGCATGTTGACAAGGTGCCTACCTGTCTATTACCCACTACCTCGTCCATACTGGCTCCAGGAGACAGTTGGTATTTGCTGGGGGGACGGGGTGCACGGTCTTTGTGGCCGTGTTAGGCTCGAAGAGTAGTTCCATGCACTCAGTATGGAGCGAACTAAGGGCCAGCCACCGCCTTCTGTGCACTCGATTCCCAAACAAGGCGTGCATGTGTTTGCCTGTGAAGGAGTGTGCGCCGACTCCGTTGATGAAACGTGGTTCCCATCCGCATGCCTTCCGGTCTTATTCCTTCGGGTTTACACCGGATATGGGGTGTGTGGTTGGAGCTGTGGGTGGTGCAGCGCAAGCCACCCATGGTCCTTCTGTAGGCGCAGGCGTCCTGTGACTGGCCACAGTGACAGGCAAATCGGAAACCGGATGTCGCCAACCAAATATATGAATATTTTTGTGATTTAGTGTAGGTAAAATTGTCGTACACTTTTGCAGATAAATTCATTATTATCGATATCAAAAGCATTGAATAAATCACTCACCTGCTATGGCTTTTGGTCACAAACAGTAGATGTATGTGATAAACAACTAATGGTCACGCGTCCAATCTGCCGGTTCTGCCTTCGTCGTGACCCCAAACGCAGTGTTTCTGTGCACTTGCAAACGCCTGCTGCTATCTCCATTCATGGCATCTTATAGCCCTATGGTGTGTGATTCCTGATCAAACATGAACACATCTCAGCGGCTTCTCATGTGTTGCATTCCTCCTTTCCCATTCATTCCTGCATGACAGCCTCCCACCACCACTGTATCGATATGTCGGGAACACCAACGGCCCATCTAACTTATGAAAAACCGCCAGCTGCCTTACCTGGTCCTTTGACAAATGCTCCAATACATATATGTACTCGACTCCATAATTCGACCCGGCGAACGACTGCCTGACTCAAAAGAACAACGATAGACGCGGCAGTCGATAGAGGCGTCATCCATTTGCAGTGACTAATGCCTGGTCACTGATGGCTAATCAAAAGTGCGCAGGTAGCGACATGTTTTGATACGGATGATTTTGTTAGTAAGCTTGTTTTACGACTGATTGATGACCCGATCCTCGTACTAATATTTTAGCCCTTTGGGGGTGATTACCCCCAGGTTGGGAACCAATGCTTTAGAGGTTGACTACTGTCTAGTGAGGTAATGCAATTCCCAGGTACCACAATATTCGTTCTGTTTGATCATATTACGTGTATTGGCGCCGCCGGCACATTGAGCTGGTCTCCCGATTCCACTTTTAAACTGGGAACCGAGAGGTGAGTCGCGTTTATCAAATAAACATGTGCGCACACGCACGAGCCGTGATAGGTGAATCCGGAAACGGGTGCCGCCGCCCGATAACTCATCGTGTAAGAACCCGAGATGCAAGCGGAATTGTATACTGTGTCAAACATAGCTAATACTAAGTGCATCCGTTCTGACAAACGAGAGATTCATCTATCTCCATCATCCCGGTTGGAGATTGCACGCGCGGAATTCTTTCTGTGTCTAGTAGTTGTGCGGTGCGCACTGCTTATGCATCCATTCCTCGTGCGTATACAACTGCGATTCCAAAGTGTTCCTTTTCTTTGGGGGAGTCATTACTTCCTTCTGTTGGCTGGTTGCTGTCTCGCATCCTTGTATCACATTACTGATAACTGGCGCAGTAGTGCCTGCCTTTAGTCCACCACAATCGAGAGCGATGGTGTCACTGCAAAGGAACAAAGACAAGCTCACAAAGGGAGACTAACACATAGGGTAGGATTGTGCAGATAGGCGGCGGGGTTACACGAGGCACCTGGGTTTGTGGGATTCAGAGACGAGATTACACCATTGCAAATATGGAGGAACAACGAATCGTGTGGAAACAATGGAAAGACCAAAGTGAAGAGCGAACACAACTCGAGCTGATGCCAACTGGAACCAGGCTGTGAAGGTGTCGCTGAGGACAATTTACCCAGGCAAGGACTTGCAAGTAACTTGGCCTCCGTTGCAGCTACATCAGCTGGCTATAGGTCGGTGTCGTGGATAAGTTTTAGGTGTCGACTGCCCATGAAGAAAGACACAGTTGGGACGGTAGATTGAGCTCAGGCTCAACATTCTTAGCCACCCATCACTGAGATGACCTGAACGCAGACAGACCGTTATTCTGTCAGGACAACACAGTCTGTTTTTCACATGAGACTTCACATAATCACTCAGCATTTGCGGGAAGCTGGAAGAACCAAACTATCCGAACAGCACTCGCAAGATTCCGACGCGGCGTTTTCCGGTTTCTGACACATTCTCAGATCGCATCGAGCAGCCGAGTACTCTAACATCAGCAAAATCCGGGAAACTTCCTGAAAGATGTGACCTCGAAGCATGTATAAAGTATTTGGCCGATTGTGCATATGGACCACCTTATCAGAGTCAAACTGAAACCGAGATTCGTACAGGGTGGCGCATGAAATGTCATACCGTTTGTTTTGTTCATTATACATGTAATATTATAGATGTAATGGTAACACTCGTATTCGTAGACTTTAATTTATGGAAAATCCGGTAGATGTCACGAGGTTAGTATGGAATATTTTCAGCGTCAAACACAATTTTCAAGATGGCGCATAAGAGCAGATGGGGTGTTGAACAGGTGTAAGTTGTAATGTTTGATCTACAGAAACGAGGAGTTTTGTAGCGACACAAAGACATTTTTTGATGACGCGGTAAACAAAGATCGGTATGAGGACATGTTGGAAAACAGATTTATTCCAGAACTCTTGGCAACAGGTTGCCCATTACAAACTCAATGGTTCATGCAAGACGGAGCCCACACACACAACAAATGTTGTTCTTGCTTACCTGTATGACATGTTTGATGGGCGGGTAATGTCGCATCGGTTTCCTAAACGTCACCAAGGTGGGAGAGAGTGGCCCTTGCATAGCCCTGACATCAATCTATGTGATTTCTTCTTGTGGGGCTACTTGAAAGATAATGTCTTCGCAAGGAAGCCTGCAAGTGCAGCTCAACTCATGGCTCTCATCATGCAGTTGTGCCGTCTAATTTCGGAAGACTTTTGCAGAAAGATTGTGACAAATGCAAAGGTTTGCTTGCAAGAGGTTATGAAGCAAAATGGTAAGCACATTGAACACATACTACATTGAACTACATTTCCATGCTCATACAATTAATTCTGCACTAATTTTGTAATATTTGGATGTTGAATACATCTGTAATGAACAAAAGAATTGGTATGGCATTTCGTGCGCCACCGTGTAGTTGATCGTTCATAAGCGATATTCAGGTCTCGTTGAGCTAAGTCGCGTTCCTGTTAGTTACCAATATCTGATCATTGAAAAGTGATGCATCCGTAGCGATTACATGCACAAAGTCGTCACTGAATCCCCTGTATAAACGTTGCACGGGGAATAGACACTATAGAACGCGGTATCTGGGGTGAACCAGATGGGACAATGAGTTCCCATCTTGCGTCTGCAGTCGCGGTCGAGTGAATTTGCCAATCTACACAAGGACTGGATGTCCGGTTCCATAGTTTTGAGACCTCGACGTAGGACACGCTTATGCAGATAAATGAAGTTTTTGGCTGCCCACCGCTTACTAGTTCGTCTTTTAGGTGGTTCAGTTCATTGTCTTAATATTTTGACATTACAAGAAAAGAGATTTAGTCAAGTTAAATTTGGTGCCGGGACTATGTGGACAGTGTCAGTATAAAAGGGAAACTCAGAGAATGATGCTCAGCGAACGCTTTGAGGTGTCGCTCTTGGAACATCAGCGCAGTCACTAGGTTGCTCGACATCACCTCAAATCTGGCATTAGAGTGTGAATATCCGTAAATAAACACCAAGGACAGACCCTAGTCCGTGGGCAATAAACAGGGAGGTGTGTTTCGCTAATAGGCGGGTGCAGACCCTGTGGACTCACTTTCAGAGACAGATTATGCAATATTATATGTGACTCCCCTAGTTAGAGTAGTGGTATTGGTGTGACCTGCTGAGTCCTCGGGTCTACAATCGTCACGGAAGATGTATCTGTTGTTGAACATTTTAAATTGCACAGCATGTGTCCGTCCTCCTTCTCCTTCACCTCGAGATAGGATATCTGGACATCTCCCACGACTGCTTTACTCTAATGGTGACTTGCTGCCAATTGCACAACAACATAAGTCCAACTAGTTTTGTTACTTATTTGCAAGCATCGATCATGAAAAACTCACACAGTGCACTGCGGGGAGCTGTAGCTCCCGAAGACATTGTTCCAACACTTGTCGACTCGATGACTCCAGAGAATACTCATCCCCAACGGCAATTTGAGACATCTGGCGGACCAACGCTGATCGACAATGTGCATACAATTGCGTGTAAACCTCAATGGGTTTCGGTTGCTTCCGAAGGAATGACCTCCAAGAGGCTACATAAAGTAAACCGGACAAATAAATTGATGAAAAGAGTGCATCATCCGGTTGAAAGTTTTAGCTGACTAATTTGTGGACAATTCCATCTGAAAGCTGAAATAATTTTCGTGACAAATAAAAGGATGAAATCAAAGTTGGATAACGAAGAGCAGGTGTAGAGGTAACAGCCTTGGAAAAAGCATTCGCTGTCTTGATATTCGAATGGACTTTATTTGTGATTTACCAGTTGATCCAGAGTTCCTGAGAAGATCTCCAGATCGAATATAGGGATAGCTGTGAAAATAGCCGGTCAATAATCTCGTCACTGATCCATGGGATCCCCCAGACTCGTGAGGAACACACAAACGGCCAAAAAGATTTCCACTAAGTCTTCGTTGATCGGCAGATACTCTCCAATTTAGAGGTCCACTTGAACATAGTCAAAGTACCAGATAATCAAACGTATCGTGTGCCAGAAAAATGTGAAGCGCTCATAACTGTAACGATAGAGTGTGTCATGGAACATCGAGAAATGTGAAGTCACACTCAAGAATAGTCACTTCCAAGATGGTCAGCGCACCGGTCTCAGCATGGGTTTCACTGCCAGACACTGAGTAGCAGAGCCGTTCCACTCGAAGCCAGCAACGAAAAAGAGGGCGGCATGCGGTCAACAAAGACGATTGAGCCTTCAGAGTCGGATAATAAGTATAAAAAAGCGAATTCTAAAAGATAGGAACTCACAGGAGTAACAAGTTTTCAAGCAAATCATCGGTATTATTTGCAAATTTCCATCACCCCGCAAAGAACTTGGAATGCTGGTGCACTGGTTAAAAGTGTAGTCAGATCAGATGACGACAAACGTGTCAAGCAACGATGGATAAGCGTCGCGTTCCACAATTTCTCGGAGTAAACAGGTAAGCTAACGTTTTGACTAATAGAAAGGTTGCGTGTGACCGGACTCTATTGGATTCCCGGGGGATTCTGAAACACCCTGATTGGGCTGGACATTCTTCGCATTCGTTCTTGAGGTCAATCATCAGGTCGGATGCTAGTGTGTGGTATCAGAATGAGTGCACTGGTTTGAATTAAGCAACAGTGAATCTAACATGTGTACGCCTAATCCAAAACACAATACTACATAAGTATGACCCATAGCATCATGTTCCACTACACTAAGTATCACTGCTAACGGCGTGATTAGCCAGCCTGTCAGCCCGAGTAGTACTATATCACCGGATACGTCAAGCCTCACCGGTACATGCAGATTCTCTAGCTCCGGGATACCAGTCAAATCTCCAGATAGTCACAAAGCTGTTAAGTGTGGAAACACAAACATACAACTTGATATGCGCTCGGTGAATTGTTGCTTTGCGTAGAGATTTGGATACAACGGTGACTTTGTCAAATTTCCGCAAAGAGCTGTTGGTGAAAGGGGATTCGGGCTGTGCAACGGAATTAACGCTGGTATACCCCAGACAATCGCCAACGTCATACAACAACGTTGGAGCTCAAACATCGCTTTGCAAATGTCTAGCTTGTTACTGTGGCAAGTTCAGGATGGAATATCACCCCGTTATGTGTTCATCACCACGGCGACGGGCTTATTTGCAACTGAGCCAATCGACCTCTCTATTCACCATCACTGGGTTTGCGACAAGTATGAAGTATGTGACTGGAATGTTAATTCATCAACTAAAACGCAACATATTGGTGCATCGGGGAGATTCCTAGTCACCGGTTTCCGTCTGACGACAAGCAGTGAACGCACTTACATCACTACTAACTCGTGTACGATCAAAAGTGGCATTTTACAAACGTGGCGAAAGTGGCTACTGGTCGGATGTGACGCTCACCGACTCACATGACTCTAGATAGGTTAAACAAGCTACTACTGATATCTATGAAAGTAGTTTAAATATGAAGGCGAACTGAAAGGTAAAGAGGGGTGAGGAGAAGAATATTGGCAGCAGCAGTTACCCAAATTTATCACAGCAATGGGATTACCTGAGAAGTCCTCGTATGAATATAGGCGCTTTAGAGATCGTGAATGTTCAAGGCGTGTATGTCATAGGCGTTGAACCCTCGAATGGTCTACTTTTGGACCCGTGTTAGAGAACGCACTGCTGTGTGCCTAGTGTACCGATGTACACTTTTGCGTGTCATCTAGTCTCATCATATTGACTATTACCGGCCGTTTCAATAGCTCGACTGATTTGTAGCAGTTTAAAGGATGTCTACGAAGATGACAGTGGTGCCGTACGACTAGGAACAGCAAAGCTGTCATATCGTGTTAAGAACAGCTGCAACGAGGACCAACGCATCTTGTAGGGGCCAAAAAATATGGGCGTGGTTCACGCATTAGAGCTCGAATTTGCCATATTTATTAGTGACAGCTTGGGTAGAATTAGGCGGCTCGGGTACTCGCTGGAGATGCCACATGACCATTTTCATGGCTGCTAGCATGCAAGATGGGATTTATTTGTCCCTATGGTTGAAGATAGTTGTAGGACACCTGCGCCAGTGGTGAACTGCATTGCGTTGGCCACAGTTTTGAGCAAGCAGCACATGACCAGTGAAGACCGGTGGAATAAGGCGGGGAGGTGCAGAGGTCATTGCGCAAGCCACGCCGAAGCCGGTCCAGAAACAAACGGCACACAACTTGTAACTAAATTCAAATGACAAGCCCTGGGAAGAATTACAAAACCCAGAGTTGTACATGAAATACTGTTCTTTAATAACACAAATGCATCTGAAGAGCTTGGCTCACGGAGGACCGATACCTGTTGGTGACTCAGTCGCATCAGGTGATGGGACACAAAAGAAGGTGGTTGGATGACGGCCCGTTCCAACATGAAACTCTAATTAGAGTGGAGTTCCGTCAGGAGGACTGTGAAGTCCACTTCAGCTTAATTAGATAGCTATGATCCGGACACCCAAAAATGGTGGCTCAGTTTGTAACGGCTCACATCTTGATGACAACAATTATTAACAGTCGGGATGAGAAAGAGGTACAACGCAAACGGAATACAAAGAAAATGGGTTTAAGAAGTGCGTGAACTTAATCAGGATGGAATGTCAACAGCTGGATACAAGAACCCGAGTGCAGGAGTGACATTGACTGCGCGAATCAGTCCTGTCCGATAGCGTCGCCAACCCCTGATGTGACCCCCATCCAGCCTGAGCAAGCGACTTGAACAATTTAATTTTACGCTTATGCTAACCTTATCGACTAGTCACCTCGCGCTTTCGCCCAGCTTGGTGCAGCGACAGCATATAGTGCATGCCGAGTAAAGTTATCGACGAACACACGCGGAAGTGATGATCTAGTCCTCGTAAGAACTCCAACGGACACTTCAATGCGTCATCAGAGGGATTTTTTAAACGATTTTAAACGACTGGTAGACCACGGCTTTGATGATTTGGTGCTCCTAATTGGGTTGAGCGATACTTCACGAAGATGTCCAACATCTTAAAGCGATCAGCGCGAAATATTCATGTTTTCGATTCATACAATAAAACCGATCTTGTCACAATGTACATATTATCTTCGACCGATAGCCAAATGAAGCAAAAATATGATTCAAGTGCCGCGGATTAGTGGATAACCGTCCCGCATTCCACATTTGATTCGAAATTACGCTGTTATACATGAGTTTTCTGTGTGAATTGTGAGCAATAGTTTTCTTTTGGTGTATTTTGCAGTCTGTGAAAATTTGGTGCATGTTCTCTGGCTAACTTCGGAGTGCTCGTTGATTGGCCCAACCGCCGTCCGTGTCCGCCATCTTGGGTTTCTTCTATGGTAATCGGCCATCATGACCACCACACCGGTAACCCGAAACGAAGTATTTCGTGCTTATCAAAATTGTGCTAAGTTAGTAAAAGGAGTATTGACTTACACAAATTGCCAAGACCGGTACCATAACAAATACGTCAAGTTCTGTAGAACCGACATAAACAATGAACAATGAATGCATACGGGTTAAGAAGCGTTGCTTTACAAGTCGAAATGCAGTTAGTTTTAGGTTGACCATGGATACACCGTATCTAGGTCACTCTGAAACAGATACCAGTCTGCGTTCGCCTGGATCCTGCGCCTAATCTTGATATCGTCGGCAAACATTAGAAAGTTTGAAGCGACTCCCTGTGCAAGGTCATTAATAAACACCAAAAACAAACGTGGACCTAGAACTGAGCCTTGCGGCACACCACACTCGACTTGTATGGGGTCCGATAAAGAGCTCCACTGATTGCCGTTGAAGTAGAAAGTTGGCGATCCAACTTAAAAGGGGGTCAATGATTCAGTAATTCTGGAGCTTGGAGAATGAGATCTGATGGTCTAGACGATCGAAAGTCCTCGAAAAATCCAGATAGCTCACATCAACGCCTTCTCCAGCGTCAGCTGACTCGGTCCAACTACTGCGTGCGATTAGTAAATTCGTTGTGCATGACCGCTCTCGACGAAAGCCGTGCTGCTCAGACGTGATGACGTTACAGTTTTCCAGATAACACACCAGTGCATCGGCCAATATGGATTCCATGACATTGGAGAGTACAGGAAGAAGGGATAATGGGCGGTAGTTGGAGGGATCAGTTCCGCTTCCACCTTTGTGAATCGGGGTTATTATTACAAGCTTTCACGTGGCAGGAACATGATTCTGGTCTAAGCAGCGCTGGAAATACTGAGCGATAGGTCCTGCCAGTTGGCATGCTGCTGCTTCCAGTGTCTCTGGACGAATGGGGTCGACACCCGGTGAGCTGTGTTTGCGTAGAGACGCCAGGTTTTGCAATACAGGATACTGAAACTAACAGTGCAGTAAAAACAGATGGCCGTGAATTTAATCCGTAGCTGGCAGTTACTACGCAAGAAACTTCCTTCTGAACTAGGACTAAAGACAGCAGTTAGATAGCCGCAGCCACTCGCAGTTCCCGCGGAAACGAAACCACTCGCAACTCAATATAACCACAATAGCCATTCAGAAACCTGTGCGCTAAGACCCGTACCTATCGAGAAGGGTGT